TCAAAACTTACTACAAAACTACAGTAATCAATATTGGCTTAAGACTAAATATGTATATTAATCAAATAGAAGATTGAAATAACCCATACATCTTTGTCAATTAATTTTCAACAAGGGTGACAAAAACCATTCAATGAAGAAAAAAACAGTCTCTTCAATAGATAGTGCTGAGACAACTGGATAGCCACACGCAAAACAATGAAGTGGACCCTTATGTCATATCATAAAATTAACAGTGATAGGGCCGACCGAGTGGCGCGATGGTTAAGAACTGGCTTGGGACGCCAGGAGGGCCCCGGTTTGGATCCCGTATATGAGGGCCAGTGACACTGCCCTCCACATGCTGAACAACAGCTCAACCTGGAGCTGGGCTGCTGTGAGTCACCGGCAACGGCGTAGGCTGCAGCCCCTGTGGCAGTAGGTTGCCATGGGCTACTGTATGTAGCCAGCAGCCAGTGTGAGCGGCCATCCAGAAGCCGGCAACTGATCTGCCTCACCCGGGAAGAGCGCAATGATGGTGCCAACTTGGGCCAGTGAAGCAACGTCCTCCACAACTAGACTGAAGACGAAAATGACAGCAACTTGTCTGTTCCCCTTCCCCAATTCCCCAGCGCTGTTCCCATCCCCCCAATTCCCCAATAAAAATCTTAAAAAAAATAACAGTGATAAAAGACCTACATGTTAAGAGCTAAAACTATAATACTTGGAAGAAAACATTGGTGTAAATCTTCAAGACTTTGAATTAGGCAATGGTTTCTGAGATATGACACTAAAAGTACAAGCAATTAATTTAAAAAACAGATTAAGTTTGATTTAATCAAAACTGAAAACTTTTGTGCTTCAAGGACATTATCAGAAATTGAGACAGCCTACAGAGTAAGAAAAAATATCTGTAAACCATGTATCTGGATAATGTTCTAGTATCCAGAATATGTAACCCGTATAACTCAAAAAAAGTTTAAAAATAAGCAAAGATTTAAGTAGGTATTTCCCCAAAGAAGACATATGAATGGTCCAAAGCACATGAAATAATGCCTGACATCATAAGTCATTAGGGAAGTGCAAATCCAAACCGCGAGGAACACTTCACACCAACTGGGAGGGCTATAATAAAAAGACAGACAATAACTAGCTTGGGTGAAGATAGAGAGACATCGGAACCTCCCTATGTTGCTGGTAGGAATGAAAAATGGTGAAGCTGCTTTGGAAAACAGACAGTTCCTCAAAAAGTTAAACATTAGAATTACCATATGACCAGCAATGTCACTCCTATTATGTACCAAAGAGAATTGAAAACGTATGTCCATACAAAAACTTTTATACATGTTTTCACACCAGCACTATTCATAAAAAGCAAAAAGTAGGAACAACCCGCATGCCCATTAATTGAAGAGTGGAAAAAGCAAATATGGTCTATATACACAACAGACTCTATTCAGCCATAAAAAGAAATAAAGCACTGATGGATGTAACGATGTGGATGAACCTTTAAAACATTGTACAAAAGCGAAAGATACCAGACAGAAAGGCCAAATATTGTGACTCCACTAATACGAAATGCCCAGAATAGGCACATTTAGAGACATGGAAAGTTGATTAGTAGTTGACATTTAGGAGAGAGAAGAATTTGAAGTGACTGCCTAGTGGGTATGGCGTTTTCTTTTGGGAGTGATGAAAATGTACAACTTTGTGAATATACTAAACCACTGAACTGTATATTTTAAAAGGGTGAATTTTATGGTATGCGAATTATATCTCAAAAATATACCTACAAAACAAGTTGAAGTGACTTCAAGGTGTTTTCCTACATGAAGTGGCTACCAACAGGCTTTTTTATTTCCATACGGGCCTTTCAAATATTGTTAGAATTAGCACACAACAACCTCATTTTAACATGGCACAGAATTTGGCTCATGGTTAAATGACAAATCAGTGGGCCAATTGTAATAAAAATAATTCATGTACATAACAGACTTTTAAAAACATTCTCAGAGTTACCACTGGGGCTTCTGTGAAAAACAATTAAAAAATTAGATCACGTATTCAAACTTACGTAAGTACAGAAAACCTAGCAAAATAAATTATACATAACAAATTCATACAACATCAAAAACAAGATTATCAATTTGTAAACTCTAACAAAATAATGGAAACAAGCAATGATCATCAATGGATGCTTTAACCATAAGGTGAAAGTTTTCTGGGAAACTATAACTGATGAATCAAGCTGACAACTCCTAAACTAACTGAACACTCTTAACATCACTAGAAATGGAACAAAGCAGACATATGTCCCTCCTGATGCGTAAGAACCTGGATTATTTCATCACCACTTATGAAGCATGTTTGCCAATATGTACATACATGTATACATATGTAACTTATTTAAGTCTCTACTAGTATACAGAAGATACTGGGGATAGAGGAACAAGTTAAACAAAACAAGTGTGTGATCATCCAAATTCAGAATGTGGGAAATTTCCAGAGCAAATCATACAGTTTCTTTAACAAATACATTCATAAACAAGAGAGGGGGAACTATGTAAATAAAAAGAGGTTTGTGACTTATATAACTTATCTTCCAAGCTGGGACACTTCTGAGAATGAACGGAATGTCTAGTTAACAGTTATGCTAGACAATAGGCATGAACTGGGACCACTGTGCTCAAAGGCCTCAATCAAATACAAGGTGTGGACTCTTCTTTTCTCAGTATCTTTTTACATTCATTCATTCATTCATTCACTTATTTTTTGGAAACAGGATCCAATTGGAATTTGAACATGGTCTGAACATCAAATAATATTAAAGAATCACTGTCAACTTTAAGATGAATGATAATGATACTGCAAATGGGTCTTTGTAAAAAAGAAAAAAAAAGTCTTTATCTGCTAGATACACACACTGAAGTGTCCATAGGTGAGATGGTATGGTATCTGCGTATTGCGTTAAAACCCTCGTGGAGGTGGGAGTGGGGTAGGAAGTGTGGGGAAAATCAATGAAACAGTATTGGTAAAATGTTGATCAATACTGAAGCTGTGGGATGGGCCCATGGGGACTCGTGATACTACACTTCTCCATTTACATATGTTTGAAAATTTTTATAGTATGAACTTTCTTCAAAACTTTAACACTGCCCAGCATGGCAGAAGGCATTTCTGGCTTTGACTTTCTTATAATGACAGATATACTCCCACAACCTCTTACTTGCCAAAAAAATATTGCTTAGGTTAGTCATAAAATGGAAATCTCAAAGGGAAATCTTTAAAGAAGAAACAGCTGGTTGGCCGAAAGAAAATGGAAAACTCCATTTTTGACTTTCCCACTGAAAGCTGCTCTCAGAGTTCTTTTCTGGACTCACAGTAGGTGGTGATGGTGAGTATGGGCACTGGGATTGGTAAGGGCTCAGTGATGAGGTTCACATGGCCTTGAACATTAAACTGAGTCAGCAGCCCCAATTTGAGTTTATCCTTAGTTCTTGGTAAAAGTCATAATTAAAAACAAAACAAAAACATGGCAGTATTACTGAATTCCTCAGAAACTGACTATCACCAATATAAGCTCAGTGTGCCTTAACCTTAATTTTCATTCTGGCTAAAGGAGAACATTTCTAAAAAAGGAACAAGGGAAATTAGGGTAAACTGAATATTATTTCATACCTAAAGCAGTCCATCATAAGCTTATGCGTCATGTGTTTATGAGTCAGCAACTTCTACCTTCCACCATATGATTTGTAAAAGTGAATTTATGGCAGTGAGGTACACACCATGACATTCTTGGATTACATCTACTACAGAAAGCCAAGTAACACTTCCTAAAAAAGTAACTTTCCTAAAAAAGATTATTTATAGTTGATTTGTACTCCCTCATGACCCAGACAGAGAACCTATGTTAACATAAAATTAATAAAACCATGCCAATTAGAATAATAGTCAGCAAAAGAGCAAATTTGGTTAATAATGGGTTGTTGAATTGAGCAGCATCATATATCCATAAGCTCAGTAAACTATTTTGTAGTTTAGTGCATACAGAAGAAAGGGAACTAAAGGAAGAAGTGCAAAATTAAAATTATTTTAGAACCAACTGTGAGTAAAATAAATACTGTAGGATTTCAGTGTAGCATGGTGAATTTTCCTATATTATGTGAATGTTATATAGGAATAGCATAGCAGAGAAATAATAATAATCATGAAAAAGAAGCTTTCTCCAAGTGAAGATTTAAACTTCCTATAAATTGAGGGGGTTAAAAAAACAAACAAAACCCACAAACAAACAAAAACATACTAACACTTGGATGCACTGAATATATTTAACTGCATAACCCTGCTCTTCTAAATATTTATATGCCTGGAAAATAATGCATATGCATAGCCACTAAATTCTTGATTATTTAGTAGTAGTAACAATGGAAACAATTTTGATTACAGTTGTGGAAATAATGAACTAGATTAAACGGAAGTCAAAATCAGTTTGGCTTTTCTAAAAAAAAAAAGACAAAAACAAAAAATCAGTTTGGTTCTACGTAACTTCTACAAGTCTTACATTTTTATTTTTGCTGCATATATATTAAGGTCCTTGACTTGGGAATCCTAAAGTTTCTCACCAAACTTACTTTCTGTTTCAAGTACTGCAACTTAGAAGTGGTGTCAATACTTACTAATATGGTGACCAGGCACATACAAGAGTCGTCAGTGTAGCGAGGGGACACACAAGTGTTTTCAAGCTCATGGTATGACTGTGTGCATGTGGGTACAGACACTCAGGCCTCCAGCAGGCTGCTCCTAACTAATGTCTATACTGTCTGGAGGCACAAAGTATTAGTTAATTAAACCACCTCACACTGTCCACGTTTGCAAATACAACCTCCTATTGTATCACTGTGAAGCAGGCATTTCAATCACCATTTTATAAATGTAAAAGTGCAGGTTCGACCGTCTACCCTCCAGCTGTGATCAGGCTTTCCTGTCCGGGAAGAGAGAGGAGGGGCCCTCGCTTCACTTACTCTTCATTCAGGGCACACCGGCGGTTGGTGAGGGTGCCGTATTTCCTCAGCGTTTCCGTGAGCTCCGAGTAGAGTTTGTCGGCCAGAGAGAGTGGGATTCCTTCCCACACCAGGATGAGAATCACAATCACGGCAGCCTCACAGGTGTGGCCAGCTCGCTCCCGCACCAAACACAGTAGCTTCTCCTCACTGCAGCTTCTGCGCACCACCTGTAGAGGTCACCATTCCACCCCAACACCCCCCACCCCAACCAAAACAAAACAGGGTTACTTGCAGCAGACGAGCGCACTGATGTATGTAGTATGCATATTTTTTTCATGTCTGGGTCATTTAGGGCACTATTGACTGCCATCCTGCAACTTGCCTTTGGCTGCCCACCTACACAGGGGATTGGGCCCGGGGTCAGAGCCGGGAGACGAAACACTGCTCGGTGTTTGGCAGACTTGGCAGACTACTGTATACCCAGTACAGCGGGGCAATGCCCAGGGGATGAAAGCCACAGCTAGATGGAAGACACGCAGGTCTCGTTCATCAAGTTCAAGGTTTGCATAAGTGACCATCCAAAGATTAACGGAAGGCATGTAAAAGATTAGGGACCACTTCTTCACATTCCAGGGAGAATTCTACTTTTAGCAGGCACTTTGAATGGACCTCCTCCTCTCCATTAAATTCTTTCAAGTAAATATGTTTAGCACATGATTTTAAAACGAATCTACCTCTTTCTTAAGACATAACACATAATAAAATAAATATAAGCAATATTCCTTTAACTGGCACAAGTGATTCTTTGATCTGGGTAACCCAATTCTCCAGGTTTCATTAATGAATCAAAATGCCCAAAACTGAAGACCGAAAGCTTTGTCAGTCACACTTACCCATTTGGCAATAGGACATCCCTGAGAACTTTTGCCTTCTTTACCAGTATAGATGACTCTTTCAATCCTAATAGCTTTACCCTTCTGTCCAAACCTTAAAGAAATCCACAGAAACACACACACATAAAATTAGCAAATGAATCTAAGAGGCATCCAAAATACTGCACATTTGAGCATAATTTTATTCTATGACCAAATCCTGAGAAATGAATGGTTTAATTTATTTTTTTTTTAAATTAAAACAAGTCTAAGCCAAGCAAACTGGATAATACACTTTAAGCCTTGTTTTACTTCAGTATCAAAATATACTGATAATTGTAATGAACCATTGTGAAATTATATGTTGGGTGAAATTAATGGGAAAGCTTATTTTTGATACATGATTTTACAAAGCAAAAAAACTTTTTTAAGTTTGCTAAATTCAGTCTTCTAAGATATGTACTATTTGATTTTTGTCCTTTACTAAATTTAGCTATTTTAAAACTTAGGGGCTCATAGTAGATTTTAGTTAGAACTGTTCCTCAAAGAATCTCTCACATTATTAAAAAGGTGGCTGGCAAATTAACTAGTATCCAGCAATTCTGAAAGTACAGGATAGTTCTAGAAATGGTTTATATTTCCCCTTATTACCAAGGCACTACTTACTACTTGCTAATAAAAAAAGGCACTAGGTGATTATTTAGTGAATTTCTACAGGCTAATTTAGAAATGAGTCATTTGGAAATGGGGCAAGGATTATGCGGAACATGGCCTTCCTGCCAGGAATGCCTCCTAACGTATGTTAATGATAACACTGACACTGCCTACCTCTTACAGAAAAGGCACCCTAGCATAGGAACAGCTCAAGCGCTGTGGACACCTATATGCAAGTCTCTCTCTGCGCTGATTATCTCGCTCTTAAGAGTCTTCTACATGCAGGAGTAACTGTGTAGATTCAGGTAAATACTTGCATACCTGTGACTGACAGTGAAAAAGAAAACGCAGCTGTAAATAGAATCTGTCTCCATTTCTATTCAGTATATTACACTTGCCCCTTTGCTCATACTAAGGAACAACTTCCTTTGAGATAGCTACTCCTTTACAACTCTAGGTGACTTAAAGTCAATGGCGCCTTTCTTACACTACATTTCCCTCCACTTCCTCTTTGACACTCTATCATCAAGTGGGCGAGCCAGAGTGGGGCCTCTCTTTGCAGCCTGTGCCAGGACCCTTGTGCCTGGCAGGCTGGCTGGCTGGTTCTTGCTCATGCCTGGGTTTCCTGGCATCCATCTCAAAGTGGGCAGCCTGTGCCAGCTCGCAGACTATTAGTCCTGTCAAATATTGTGACTCTCTGGTGAATAGCACAGTGTGTAGTGTTGGCAACCCTGGAATAGCTAAGCCTACTAATAATTACTCAATTTACAATTGTTTACTGCTTTGTATGTGAAAGCTGGAAAAATTCTGACATATACAAAAGGATAAACGTTAATCTGCCCTGTGCCTTTGCGTTAATTACCTTTCTTCCATGATTTCTCTAATAGCTGCCACATTAGGACCTGCTCCTAGATGGGTATAAAAAGGACCTTCATCTTTTTCAATAATTTGCTCTGTTGAGATAATAGAAGATTATTATTTTAGACCTCAATTATACTAAATATAAAGGCTACATCCACAAAGTTTATCCCCCAACTGCACATTAAGGGCCCTAAGTGTGACTTTACACATTTTTTTTTCTTTAAAATGAGTAAATTGATGGACTAATCTATTAGAAAATGTGCAAAGTAATTAAGTATATGTACATGCTGACTGTTGGATAAAAATATATTAAATTACATTTCAGATATGGGATAAGAAATTATTTTTAGCAAATAAGTGAAACTAAACAAAGAAAACAGTGTGGGAATTATAATATATTATATGTAATATCAACTACAATCCAATTTTTTAACCTGAAAAAAAATTTTTTTTTTTACAACTAACTAGAATCCTACCTGCTACTTGCATGTTAAAAGATTAAAAATAAAATGCCCTGTCTTATCTCACCCCCAGGATATTGCTCAGTTTACTGTCAAGATACCTTTTTCTCCTCTTGTTTCTCCACATTTAATTACTCTGTTTTGAAAATAAAAACATTGAATCCAGACCAATATTTGTATGTACTTTAGAAGAATTTATGATGAGAGAAAATACTGGAGAGAGGGTCAGGTAGAAGGAAGAGGCTCTTGCAAACTACTAGAGATGAAAAGGGGGGCAGGAAGGGTTAGGGTGACAGGAGAAGGGAGTGAAGGCAATTATAACTTACCTAATAGTATCTACGACATGTGTGGCACTTTAGCCCGATGAGGCAACGTAATATAATACTAACCACACACAAAGGGGCAGAAGTCACGCTCCCGCCATCCTTTTATAAAATGCATTGTAAGAGGAACAACATGGGGTGGGTGGACCATGAGCCACATTAGTTTAACATTTGTTTTTTCCAATGTCTTCTACTGTATTCAAGCTGAGTTGCTATAATTCAGATCTCCACATATATATGTATACAATCTGCACTCATCGGCAAAATGGTTCCCTATTCCAACAGATCTATCATGTATCTTGAATTTTAACAAAAAAGTGTTTGTTGAAAAAAAAATGAAATGTCATATTTTCTATCAAAAAGATAAAACTTTAAAGAGAAAATAGAATAAAAATGAATACAAATCACAAGATTTCAAGTGCATAAAGGGAGAGAGGGCAACTTTATGAGTATTCACAACTTCAGCATTGTAATTTCCCCCAACTCACCAAGACTGAAGGTAATCATTTCTCCTTTATCTAGAAATTAATCTTGTAAAACTGTTAATACATTCAACCCTGAATTTAAAAATATTAAAAGCTCCTATATTAGTTTGCATACGGCAGTTATTTTCTCATTTTAATAGACGGTTTTATTGCCTGGCTGTCCCTCCAGAAGATGATATATAAAGAGTTAAATAGATTGATTAATCTAAAACAGATACCTTTATATTTTAAAGGGTTCGAAGAGGGGGAAATGAACATGCACAAATGTTTTAATTTTTTGGAAGAATTGAATGTAAATGAAGTTCTCTTTTGCAAAGCACAAGCATTTGTAATTTAAAGAAACAAGAAATGTAAGCTTCAGATTTTTATGGGCCTTTACAAATTGCTGCCAGACTCAAGATTAAAAAAAAAAAAAGGAAAGGAAAGGAAAAAAAAGAAAAAATCCCATATCTGAAGATAAATTGGCTAATTCTGGATAAACACCATGTGTCTCGTGACATTTCTGGCACTTACCTACACATCTGCATGATGGGAAATCATATTGAGTCTTGACAGGTGTATCCAATAAATTTTTTATAGGAGTATCTAGTAATTTGGAAGGTGACTCTAAAAAATTATTGAGAACAGAACCAGCTGTTCTTTTGGTTGGTGTCTTTTCTGAAGAAGGAGTCGCTTGCTGCTCTAAAGCTGGGGTGTGGCTATCAAGTTCTGCAGCAGTGGTTTGTCTAGTTAAAATTGTGACTGGCCCTGACATTTCAACTTTCACTTGCTTCTGCGATTTGAGAGTAAGAGCCTTATGGTCAAATAACGATTTGACCTGGAACTGTTTCAGATGTTGCTCCATGGTCTCGAGGATGCTCCTTTGATGCACATTATCACAGCTCAGAGGTGGAATCTCTTGCTTGGTTATCTTTTTCCAGGTTTTGTTTTCTGACACAGGGTGCATACAAGCATGGGACTTCAATCCAGGTTCAACCTTAATTGGCCTGTGCATCTGATTATGGCAAGACTCAGTTTGGTGTTGTTGGTGTTGCTGCTGTTCTTGCTTCTGTAAGAGATGCCACCTTAGAGCAGCGTGCCTTTGAAAGTCCTTCTGGGGAGGGGTCTGAATGTGACTTCCTCCCTGGTCAGGTACAGGGAAAGCATTGGCTTGGTTTTGCATCAGGTACCTTTGCTGAGCGAGTTGTGCAGCTTGTTGACCAGATACATCTTGGTTTTTACTTCTACATCCCTGTGGAACTGAAGCTTGATGAGGCTTCTGTTCTTGTTCCTGAAAGCACCTGTGAAGAGCCTCTTGCTTTGGGGTCACATTATTCGGAAAATATTGCAGGGGATGTAAGTTTGGGGTCTTGTTTCCTGCAAAAAGTTCAGAATGTATAGTCTGTTCTGTGTTTTCTTGAACTTGGTGCATGTTGTTTGAACAAGAAATCGGCACTTTGCTTCCACTCGATTTCAAGGTCTGACCATAGGGTGAATTTCTACTATTCATATTCTGGGTGTGCTCCAATCCTACTTGGGAATTATGAGTCTGGAACTCACTTGATTTTGAATACTTATTTTCACCACGAAAGCATTCTTCCACTTTAATCTGGCTAAAGAATGATCCTTCTCTTTGCTGATCACTGTTGCCTTGGGGATGAGAAAAAGTCTGGGACATCTGTTCTTTATTCTTCATGTGTAATTTTTGCTGCTGCTGCTGCTGCTGCTGCTGCTGCTGCTGTTGCTGGTTTTGAGCAAGATGTGAATTCTGGGGAGTTTGTGTTTGTGCTGCCTGCGTATGAGGCTTATGTTGTAAAAGGTGTGAGTTTGAGAATGGCTCAGTCTTTGAAGACTGTTGATTCAAGTGTTGCTTTAATGTCGAGGGCATGAGCTTCTCGGTTTGGGAATCTGGTCTTTGTTGACAATGAAATCTAGGGGAACACAGTGACTGCATCTGAGCTTTGGGTAAAGCGTCTGTCTTGGAGAAGAGCACCTGGAGTGAGGGTTTTTGGAACTGGAGATGCTGGTCCACTATACCTGGAGACTGCCCTTGATTCATCTCAGCTTGGTACCTGTGTGGCCTCTGCTCCAGCTGCATTATTTTCTGGATATAAGCTTGCCCCGGGAGCCCCCCAGGCATGTTGGAATTTCCAGTGTATTGTTTGGAGGTCATGTGATTGGAGGAGTTGGACTGATACTGAAGAATTGACCGCAGTGGTGCCTCATTATATCTTAAATGGGATTCTGCTTGATGAAAGTGAGGGGCCTTCAATTCAATCCATCCTGGCTTCAGATAGGGCTGTGTTGGGAGCACAAGGTCTCGTGTTTGTTCCTTGTCTCGACCCTGCAGAATCTCTTGATCTTTGTGTCCCATCAACTGCTGGCAGGGGTCCTGTGGAACTCCACTACTACCCAATATCAGTGGGTTATGCTTCAGATGTTCTGATATTTGTCTTGTTTTCTCAGAACACAATGGAACGGCCATTGTCCCTGGAGTCCGTATGTCATTCTTCTTAACACAGTTATTCTGAAGGCTTTCTGGAAGCATCAGAGAGGGGTCGGCTACATGTGTAGATGGATTAGGGCTCTGGGATGGTGGTGCCGCAGGCTGACCCTCAATTTTCACTTCCCTTAAAAGAACTGAATTACTTTGGTTGGGGTAGTGATGGTGTTCTTCCAACACGCCACCATTCAGAATGCTTTTTCCTTCTGAAGTAAGCTGAGGAACCTCTGGAAGAGGAGGAGAAGGTGGGGAAAGAAGCAATTGCATTGGTGGTGGTGTGATAGTGGCAGAAAAGGAATCCTTAGTGAACACTGAACTTTGCTTGAAGTGAGCACCATTCATTTCATTTTGTTTTAAATACCGTTCAGAGCTGCCACCAGGAGCCTGCAAATTGCTGCTGGAACCTGAACAGAATTCTTCACCAGAGACTAGCTTTGTGGTTCCTTGGATGTTACTGTTCTCTGCAGGAGATGGGCATATCTCAAAAGCTGATTTTTGTTGTTCTGGTTTCGGAAAGGGACAGGTACCCAGCATTGCAACTGGTTCACTGCCATTATCAGCACCACAGGCCTCAGGCACCACTGCAGCTGGCTCTGGAGGCAGCTCAGAGTCTGAGGTCTGTGGGAAATTGATCTGCCCTGAGGTATGCAATGGGTGAGTGATCTCACAGGACAACTCATTAGTAGCCTGAATGTTAATGGCATGTATGTGAGATGTGGTTTTCTGCACCGCAATGGAAACACAATCTGGATAATATTGAGACGACGTTTTTTCCAGGAGTTCACTGTGTGTGTTTTCCATGGAAGAGGCAGAAACTGTAGCACCATTAGGCATTAGCACGGACTTGTTTTTAAGAAGTAATACAATGTTCTTGTCACGGTAGTTAGCATTTTTCCCTTCCTGCTCATTCAGAACCTGAAGCTCTGGATTCTCAGCCCCGCTGCAGTTCCGTGTTGAAAAGCTGGTGAAATCTTTCACTGCATTGTCTGGGGCTGCAGAGCTCACAGATTCTCTCGTATTCTTCGAATCGGAGACATTTGGCTGACTGCTGCCTTTGACTGGATTTCTTTCTTGGCTTTCCCCGAAGTTCTTTCTTTCTCCATTAACCTTTTGGTCTTGTTTCAATTTCTTGCTCTGATGGAGCCCAGAGAGAGAAGGTTCACTAACTGTGCGTTTTATTCCTCCATTCTGCAAACACTTGGAATACCCTCTACCTTCTTGTATAAAGTCCGGACTCACGCGGCTATTCTGGCTCCCTTTCATATGGGGTATTCCATAATAACTTTTGAAAGACTGCCACTTGGTGTCTCCATTTACTTCTGTATAAGGTCTCTCAGTTAATGGGCTTCCATTCTGGAGCTTAATAGCCAGAGGTTCTGTCTGGCAAACGGGAGAAGGAGATGGAGTCAGGAATGGACTTAGTCTGTTGCCCTCCACATGGTTGGTTCTATCCTGTTCCATCAGGCTTGCTTCGGGGCCATCCACAAGGCTGCCCTCTCAATGAATTCTAAAGAGCAGGGAAACAAAAATTAAAGTGCATTAATATATATCCAACACTAATAATACATCTTAGAGAATAATCATGCCATTAGTAGTATTGGAACTCCTAGACATAGCAAACTGTGATATTCATTTTCATGTTTCAGGGTGACAATCCATCGCTACTTAGGACATGACTTTTCTTGTTTTCCCAGCAACTCTCAAATATTTATGGTCATGGAGAACATGATCAACATCACCAGCTAAAGTGGGAAGTTCAGACTGTATTAGTAAATAGTATCAACTTCCTTCCCAAATAATTCTCTGTGTCAAAATGCTAAAAACAATACAGAGTACCTCCTTGCTGTCTTCGCTAAAACCTTACATCACGGGTCCCTTCCTAAGTTCCATCAATTCCATTTCACATATATTCCTTTAATTATCTTCACTGACACTTGGTAACCAGGTCTACATTGTCTTGCTTTGTAATCGACTGTAGTAGCTTTTTAAAGGAGAAAGAACACCCTAGCCTGTTCTCTCCCCAGTCCTCGAGGCTCCTTCACCTTGTTATCAAGGGAAGGCTGTAACATGCAAATCTGATGTCATATTCTCTTTAACACACTTTACTGGCTCCATATGACCTGCATTAGTAGTTTTCAAACCCTTTCACCCAGACACACCTGAAAGATAAGCTACACCTCCCTTTAGTGTTAACATATAAGGGAATGAGATAGGGGTGAAAAGTGTAGTTTGTAAAATGCCCTTTCTAGGTGACTCCATGTTTTCTTCTACAGGGACTGGCTGCTCACTTCAACTGAGAATTCCTGCCTAATAGAAATGGTTTTTCATATGCCAGTTTCTATTTTTCTTTCCTCCTACTTCCTCCCAGTTTATGCTCCAACTATAACAGCTTACAAATACACAAACAGGTACGCTGTTTCAGACCTCCATGTTGTTTTGTCTGCCCAGAATGCTTTCTTCGTCCCCTTACATGTGCAGTGACTCCTATGCGTCCCGCTAAAACTGTCTCAGATATCACCTCCCTTAGGATTCTTCCTTTGCTTTTCCAACAGAATTAATCACTCCCATTTCTATGCTGCTTCTATATCTTATATATAGTCTACCACTGAACATATCACACTCAATTGTATTTTTTTTACTCTCTTACTGGACTGTGAACTCCTTAGGAATACTCTACTCTGTTCATGTTTGTGCTTAGTATAGAGTCAGCATCCAATCAGTTTCATTAGATTGATATAAATTTGCTCATCTTATGATCATTCATTCATCAAACATTTTCGAGACCAATACTGATGGAGATCTCAAAGTCCAAATGATAGGGAAAGCAGAAAGAAATGGGCACTAAAAAAATAAATAAATAAATATCCATTATATGAAGTGAATGCTGCTCCATTCACGATATAGTTATGGTTTATTTTTTCACAGTTTTCCTGATTACATTTATTTTAAGGATGTAAGTAGAAAAAAAATCAAGACTACTTTGCCTTTAGGCTATAATAAAGCTCTATTAAAATCGTCATTGCTTACTAACCAAGACAAATGACACAGAGGGAGAAATAAGATATCAACACTGGAAAGCAACAGTAAAGTTATCATTATTTGCAGATAATAAGATTGTATACTGGTTAACCAAGACAATCAATGGAAAAACTGTTACAGTTGATGAGAATTCAGTAAAGTAGCCAAAGAAAAAATCAATAGCCTTGATATATAAAAACAACAACCCGTCAAAATCGTTAGTGGAATAAAATACTGTAATAGAAAAAAATATTTTTAAAACAGTAGGAATACACTTAAAAAGAACATGGAAGACCTATTTGAATAAAATTTTAAAACAAGGATATACAATCACAAAAAACAAAACAAGTAGAAAGGTATAATGTGCTCTTTGATAGTTGTTAAATTAATCTATTCATTTAACATACTTTCAATGAAAATACTAACAGATTGTTTTGAGGAATTAAAGAAGCTGACTCTAAATATCATGTAGAAAAATAAACAAATTGGGTGGCCAGGAATAATCTGTAAAAGAATTGCAATGGGGCCTGGACAGGGCAGTATCCAAATGAAAAGACATTTAAAAAGCACCAATACCTCTCCTGGGTCTCTACAAAAAAAATCTGAAAATATTTGTCTGTAAAGATATATGTGCTTCTATATTCACTGCAGTTTTATTTACGGTGGCCAAGACATGGAAACAACCAAAGTATCCTTCAATAGATGACTGGATAAAGAAGATGTGGTATATATTCACAACGGAATGCTATTCTGCCATAAGAAAAGATGAAGTAATGCCACATGCAACAACATGGATAGATCTTAAGATTATTATGCTAAGCAAAATTAAGCCAGACAGAAAAAGTAGAGAGCCATATGATTTTACTGATATGTGATATATAAAACTGAAAACAATAAAGAAACAAGACAAACAAATGAAGAAACAAAAACTCATTGACACAGACAATAGCTCAGTCATTACCAGAGGGTGAAGGGGGGAGGGGGATGGTAGATGAGGGTAAAGGGGACAAAATATATGGTGATGGAAGGAGAACTGACTCTGGGTGGTGAACACACAATGTGACATATAGATGATGTATTACAGAATTGTACACCTGAAACCTATGTAACTTTACTAACAATTGTCACCCCAATAAACTTTAATCTAAAAAAAGCAACAAAAGCTATTGTACTTAAAACAGCTTGTTCTTGCCCATCAGTAGGTAACAGAGTGTGAAAAGACCAATGGAATTGAATAGAATGTCCAGAAATAGACACAAATAGAAATATGGTTTGAAGTAATGGTGACATTTCAAATAAATACAATATTGGAACAACTGGGTAGTGTTCTGAAAAAAATGATAAAGTTGAATCTATCCCTTACATCTTATACCAAAATGAATTCTATATCGATTTAACATTTGAATATAGAAAATAATCAACCCCCCAATTAAAAACAGTCTGAGAAAACTTAAAAAAAAATCTAGTGACTGGGTAAGTTCTTTGTGACACAAAATATAAAGGACAATAAAAGACTAGAAAGTTCAGTAAGATAAGCACATAAGCACACTTAAAAGTCATATAAAATTTTTCTTTATAGAACTCACACAAATTGACAAGGAAAAGTCTAAGGATCCAACAGAAAAATGAGCAAAGGACATGGACAGTTCACAGAAAATAAAATGCAAATGGCTCTTAAATGTTAAAAAGATATCCAGTAACACTTATAAAAATAAATGCGAGTTAAAACTGCAACAAGATACCATTTTCCCCTCAAATTGGCAAAGATCAAAAAGTTTGATAAAACACTATGTTGGCTAGCATGTAGGGAAGCAGACACTCTCTTGCACGGTTCCCAGAAGTCAAAAGTAATACTAATGCCAAGGAGGACAACTTAGCACTATCTAAAAATTTCACAGAACCTTTTCTGACCCTTCAGTTTTAAGAATGTATCTAACAAGTATGCTCATATACACGTTAATTGATGTATGCACAATCTTTTACAGTAGCAAAAAAGAAACAACCTATATTTTCAGATGGAAGTATTTCCAGGTAATTAAATGAAATAAAGCAGGCTAAAGAACAGTATATATAAGAATGCCACGACCTCTATATTTACAAAAACAAAGTCAGCTCAGGGAGAATATACAAACTGGTAATACTTTGCCTCCAGGAAAAGGAATGAGGGGACTGTAGGACAGCACCGGGCGGGAGGCTGCTTTGAACTATTTGTTGTTTTTTGTAACTTTTAATCATGTATATTATTAAAATAAAACAAATTAAAAAGTGATAAGCCCTATTGGACCAAAAAAAAAAAAAGAGCAAAGTAATGACTTTATTTCTGCTAGACCTCCTTCCTTCTAAATATTAAGAGATGGGCTACACATGCATAGCCACTAGTCACATATGGCTACCGAGCCCTTGAAATGCGGTTAGTCAAAATTGAGATGTGCTGTTAAGTGTAAATGCACACTGGATTTTCAGAGATTTAGCGTGGACAAAAAAGATTTATATAACTCAATTTTTAAAACTATTTATTATATGTTGAAATATACTACTTTGGATATATTAAGGAAAATATATCATTACATTAACTTCATTTGTTTCATTTTATGTGTTTTAATGTGAGTATTAGAAAATTTAAAATTCCATATGTGACTTATGCTGTATGTCTACTGGATAGCTCTGAGCTAATACTTTTAAACATCAATCACCCTCAATAAAAAACGCCAGGTTCCAGAATCGTGAAAATTAATTTGTAGTCTTTGGTATAAGATGATTCTCCAAAATCAGGGGTATTACCATTTTTCAAAAATTAAGGAGCATAGAAGAAATAAGCCTAGATAAATCCTTCATGGACTAAGTCTATTAGCTTTTCAAATACAACAACAAAAAATGTTTTCTTTTGGTCAAAAAGGGTTCCATGAAGTTGATTTTTGTTGAAATCAATTCACACATACAATCAAAAGGTATTTACATGTACACACATTTACATTTATGTTATATATAATATAAAACTTTCAGGTTCCATGTACAATATATATTGTCTAAGTTAATTTTCTAGCTATAAAATATTTTAAGCATTTAATACATCTTTATTATGATCTATTCCACATAATCTGGACATTTTTTAAAGTGTCAAGGGCAGAGTTACAATAGATGGAGCTTGCAAATCTTTTATGAGCATAATAATAGGTCTTAAGAAGAAATGAAGGTGAGTTAAAATTAAATTTATTTCAATATGGAGTTTTAAATACAATAGCCATTTTTAAACATTAATTTAAACTAATTATCAGAACTATTCTGTCTGTGACAGCAATTCCTTTATTGAGCACAACCATCAGATGTGGAAAATTAAATGGTTAACTTTTTCAGGGCGGGCAGGAAAATTATATATTATGTTTTCATTTTAGGATGAGGATAATTTGTTATTTGAGGATTATTTGTTATTGGCCTATGAATCTGAATAAGAAAATTTAAACCAAAAGTGCCATTTAAGAGGGAGAAAAA